AAACACGACAAATCAACAACCTTACTCACCCAAATGCAGTAACATAATTAAATACCATCATCCAATTAGCTTACGTTCTTAAAAAAACCAACTGTTACTAATTATTAAGAATGATACTATGATAAACCTAAAACTCATTTGCCCATGCTAGTGCTTTTGTCAATCGAAGATACTACATATGAGAGTATTGGTGGCATAAATAATGGCATTTGACCTAGAAGAGAGAAGAGTGGAACCAAATACTTATATATTATATATATATAATAAACAACGCCAATTAGTACACATTAAACGGTGTGTTGGGAAGTGGAAAGATTAAGTACACACTTAACCTTTAGCATAAATGTAAAAAGTGGTGGCTCTCCAAGACTTGAACCCATTAACCTCAAGGTATTACGCCCAAGTTCTTAACCATTAAACCATATGGTTCACCCCTTTTTTTAACCGTATAATATTTATATATATATTATAATAAAAAAAATCAAGTTGAAAAGGATACTATACAACTCTCCAGGATCATACAAAAGTGTGTTGATCCTCAAACATCAACAATGGCATAAATCCATGGTAGTTCAAGGAAGGCGTAAACATGTAAATAAATAAGTAAATAGTGCTACAATTTCTCAGAAAATTCAATGTGTCTTGTCTAGTTACATCTTAAATTTTGAACTCACTTGTCTCCTTAATTACTTTAATCAAAAGATTCATAACAAGTTATTAATCATTAGGATTCCGACGATGTAGAAAACTTTACTTTAATCCTTACCGTATATAATAAGAATTTAACTGTATCCCTCGTTTTTCAAGAAATCCTCTAGACCCAAAAATTTTTAAAATTCATGTGCATATGATAGCACATGGATCATGATATCTTATGGCTTTCCAAGACCTAATTAGATTGGTTGTCATGTTGTGATCCATCACACAAAATTCTCCATTCACATCTGTAACAGGCCGCGGGGACCTCGCTACAGCTCGGACTCTACTCTTTCGTCAGTCACGGTTCTAAGTCTGAACCAAAGAGTCAAATCTGGCAAAGATCGTTTTCGAGAAAAACTGGTTTTTTGAAAGAAGTGCCAAACATGGACTGCCTTGCCAGAGTCAGAGTCGCCACTAAATATTTTATTTGGGAAATTTAGGCAAACCCTGACTACGGTTGCCAAAAGGCCACGTGTCACGTCATCACCAAAGTTGCCTCGGCTCGGAACTTGCCGTACGATTGGGAGGTCACACTTCGTGAGCACCCCGCTCCCCCGTCATATGACGGCCTCTACTAACCATTGATATCAATTTTTGAAAAGCATTGTGAGCTTCATTATACCGGTTTATTACCTAAGGTTATTTTATGTGATGCGCACAGCATTACCAGTATAGACCGAGGGCCCCCCGAATTGGAACAAAACCATTCCTGCTTTGTTTTTTGAAAAATGGTTTTGCTTACCCGCATGTAGGCTTGAAACATTTGATGTTTTACCTCCAATTCAGATAACCACAGCCATCCACCACAAGCATTCAGGGCATATATACAAATAAGCACCATAGGCCTCATGGTAA